CGTTCCTCTCTATCAAGAATGAGAACATCCTCATCTCTGAAAGAGTGACCGCTGGCCTGTAAATGAGTGAAAACTGCAGAGTTCTGGCCATTAGACGTAACTCGTCTGTGTTGGGACATTCTTTTGAACAGTGGTTGCTTTGTTTCCTCAATGTATAACTTTTATTTTTCCATAGTTATGTTTTCACTGGATCATAGAATAAACTAGACTTTTTGTCCTTCCTTTTTCCTTTGTTGAAAATTGAAGATGAGATTTTGTTTTGACAAGAGCTGTTACATTTTTGGAGCTACAGGGAAATGATGGCATCACCTAACCTTTAATAATTATGAAATAACTAATAATCTACAAATGTATTTGAATAATTAATATTACACACAACACCTGAAAGTGAATTAACTCATGTTTTTGTTTATTTCTACTAAAATCAATGTCCTACACATTTACATGGAACAGCAGGACTTAAAACTTTTATTGGAAACAGCCTACAGAGACCAAATCTGCCTTTTAAGATTTTATTACACAATTTATAGAAAGCTAAACTAAAAAAAAATAAATAAATAAGCAAAACAAAATATAATTAAAATTGAGAATTTACAAATTTTCCATTTCGGCATCAAGTAATTACTCTGAGTTATCAGAACTTTATTTAAATAGTTTTTGCTTCATAATGATTTAACAAAGATCCCTCTGAAGAAAACTTGGACTTTCTGATCTGTAAGAGGAATTAGATTAAAAATTTATCAGAACCATTAAAATCTTTTGAACTGGATTTGAGATTAGGATCTACGTTTTAAGTTTTACAAACACCAGAGACTGTTTTTGGTATTTTTACTTTGGAAGTTAAGGTCAGAAGGATGTTAATGATAATACCGGATTGTCACATTAGATTAAGGTAGGATCAGATTGGAAGTAAAATGTTTTGTTTAATAACATGAATCAGTTTAAAGTGCCACAGGCAGACCAAACTTCACTTTTCTCATCACCAGGAGGGAGGACTGTGTGACCAGCTGTCCCAGTCTTCCTGAGTGACTCCAGGGAGGTTGATCGGACCTCTGCAAAACCACAGAGAGGAGAGGCTGAAGCCCAAAAACCCACTGATGGTCAGCAGGCAGATTTTTGTGCTAAATCACTAAAAGCTCTAGTGATGCTTTGAGAAACGTTATGAAACTCTTAGGCTGATGGAGTCAGGAGTTTGAATGTGATGCAACATCTATAAGTGTTTAACGGGATTTTGATTGTCAACTGCATGTTGATTATTTTACCTGCAAAATGAGAACACCTCACCACTAAGTTGAGTTGCACAGGGTTTAGAGCTGGCAAAATTTGAATTTGTCTTCTCTGGCTACTTTTGCTGCAGCCCAGTTGTTCTAGAACGCCCCTTCAGTGGGAATTCCTTGTCGGAAAATGTTGAAGTTCAGAATTTAAGACAGCAGGCACTTATTGCAACTCATCAGTGAGTAAAAATCTTACTTTAACTTTTTTTCATGATTTTATTTTTAAGTTTTTTAAGTTAGAAGATACAGATAGACAAATGAACAAACAGGGCCCAAATGTACAGTACAAAGCATTATGCATTGCAATAAATGAATAGTGTATATAAAAAAACGTAATGTTATGCATATAACTACTGTTCCCTGAAGGAAAGGAACGAGGTACAACATCATGTATGGGAACCANCGTTTCATTAAAGAAGAACCCGTCCAGAGGACCTATACAATTTTTTTTCCTTTTGATTTTTTACCTGGATTACTGAGATGCATCAGGACGATAGATGAGATGATGCTCAAATACCTTTATGATGAATATTTTTTATGTCTGGGAGGATAAAAATTTTAATTTCTGGGGTTGGGAAAGGTTTAGAAATTTACTGACGTGACAACAGATGTTATAACTTCTCTTTATAAATTTTTCATAAAATTTCCTTTTAGTTTTCTTAGACATCTTTGACTCCGATCAGGTTCACAGTACAGCACACAGGCCTCAGTGTAAGACCTTGGGGTGAATCAAAACAAAACATGAGCCCTTCTCTAAAGCAGAGACTCTGCACATCAATGACAACTACTTTCCACTATAGTAATAAATTGACCTTATAATGTACATCTCTTCCTGGTTACATCCCTGGAGGTGTTACCTGTTATGTCATAACTCATTGTTGTTTAGGCTAAAGAAAGAACACATGACAGGACACACACCAACTCTTTGTCTGCTTTAACCATAAATGTTGAAATGATCAGAAAGTATAAAACACAATACTGCATCTAACATTCAACTAATCAGTTACAAAATTTCCTTCAAGGTCACACCCTGGAGAAGCATTTCAGTTTCATTTTTACTGAGGGACAGACTGCTTCAATTCTTTTTTATCTTTGTTCTGTGATAAAATGTGGATCTAATCAAGGTAAAAGCAAAAACATACAGGGTGAAACTGATATGAATAGAGAAGTGAGGTTGGGCTTTTACGATTACTGGTGAACACAGATGACAACTGTTTTGGTCCACAAGAAAAATGTATAAAACTCAAGTTTATGATTTTGACCGAATAACAAATTCCACAGGTTTGAATGGCAGACTTCTAATAACAAAGATGGAGTTACAGATTGCAACTCAGCAAAAGTTTTTATGGTGAGGCTGTGAAAATTAATGATCTACTTGATTTACAGGAACAGAGAGCTGGCTGTTATTATAAATTTGACAGTTTTATGTATATACAAGGGTTAGACAATGAAACTGAAACACCTGGTTATGTCACACATAATGTTGTGTGGATTGTGATATTTTGAGCAAAACTGTGCTCTTACCCTGCTAATTGAACCTTCACACTCTGCACTTACTGGTGCAATGTGCAGTTAATGAAGATTGACCACCAGGCTGGTCCAATTTAGCCATGAAACCTCCCACACTAACATGACGTGTTTCAGTTTCATTGTCTATCTCTTTTTTGTGCAAGCAAGACAATACTGGTGGAATAACTAATATTAAGGTGTTTTATTTCTTGTTTGATGCACAAGGTTTTTTCTTCCAGGTCTGAGTTGTTTATTAATAAAGGGGTACAGGCAGAAATAAATGGTCCCAATTTAGTCTTATTTTAGAGAATACGTATGGTCATAAGATGGCAGCAAGGAGGTCAATTGTAATCGATTGACATTAGGATTAATGGCACTTAACATTAGGTGCTTGATTAATGCTGAGTAGTTAGTTAAAAATTTGGTTGATGGCCAGTCAGAGCAGAATATTTCCAGGCTAATTACTGACACTGCCAAAGAGGTCTGAGGAAATGGTCAACCATATTAGGGTTTCTCAGCCAAGTAGATTGGTTCACAAGGATGTTTGGAGTGTGAAAGGCTCTCTGCAGTTTCGATGCCTATGGTCACAGTTATGATTTTGATGACTTGTTGCTGCTGTTGTGGGATTCCAATTATGCAAGTGCTGTGCCTAAAAACCAGAAACAGTGCAGAGTCAATCCACCTGCCACCTTTCAGATGAGACTGTCCTCATCACTGGACCTCTATAAAACTCATATGACGACTGAAGACGTACAGACCAGCGCCCCTTGTCCTAGCTGACATGTGAAAGCATGACTGTAACACTGATGTAGAACACACACGTAGCAGGCATGAACTTTTATTTGAGGCCAATCATAAGTCTTGCTAATGATAATCAATGATTTTTTACTGTGATGTTCTTTTGGATTGTTGAACTGTTAATAAGCTAAGGTTAAAATGTGAAACACTAGGATGTTATCTTAGTGACTAACTGAACCAGGTTGATCAGTGGTGGGTGCCAAATACCAAAAGATAATCAGGAGGTACGATGGAGAACCACTGAGGTGTTTTTCCTGAAGGAAGTGNGTACAACATCATGTATGGGACATATATAAACGCCCCGCAGAGCAGCACCAAACTTGGGTCATAATAACATGCTAGTGCAGCACATCAGACCCAGCGGAGAGCACAGAGTGAGCCACCGAGGGGGCTGTCACATCTAAGCAATAAAACTGAACAAATGTGTGCGGTGAAGACCAGCTGGCCGCAGCACAGATGTCACTCACAGGTACCCCTTTAAATAGGGCCCAGGATGCTGCTACACCCCTGGTGGAGTGAGCTCTCACACCAGATGGGACTGGGAGGCCCCTGCTGCTGTAAGCTAAMGAGATAGCCTCCACAATCCAGTGGGAGAGTCTYTGTCTGGACAGAGCTCTGCCCCTGAGTGGGTTAGCAACACACACAAACAGCTGATCGCATGACCTCACCTCCTGTGTGCAGTCAATGTAAATACGCAGTGCACATAGAGGACACAAAGAATGTAACCTCCTCTGTTCCTCAGATGCAAAAGGAGGAGGATAAAAACTGGACTAACATAATGGTTCAGACTGATTATAAAACAGAAATGTTAATTAATCATCATAAATGTTTTGCAGTGATTTCTCTTAGAGTCTATCTGGAGAAAAGCTAAAGAAATGTTATCATATTCTGTTGTTGAACAACCACAGAATTTAACCTTAACTGGCACCTGGCTGGCAAGTCTTTATCTTTCTTCCTTTCTCTGACTCATCTTACGCCTGAGGGCAGAACCAAAGCCGTCTGTTTCTACTACTAACCACGGACGTCTTTGAGCGGCACACTTCTTCTTCCTGATGCAAACTAGGAAGGAAGGCTGAGTTTCTCTCCTGAGAAGCCAGTTTGGCTCGTTATGTCTTGCCCATGAGCTAACTAGGGGGATCTAACAGCCGGGACAGCGGCACGCCAGCCAGATGTCCCAACCCGAGGCTTCAAGCCTCCCAAGTGTGTTTTAACTCCCGAGGGGAGATTTTATTTTGAAAGAAGGAACCGGATGTACAGCTTGAATCTTTCTGGTTTGGACTGAAACAGACGAAAAGTTACCTGAAATAACACCTTTCTCTCCAAGGAACAGCGAGCGAGCCGATTAAAAAGTTCCCTGACTGATCGGAGGTTAGACAGTGTCTACCCAGGGGTCGCTTAAGAAGCCATCACCAGGTAAAGCTGACGTGTTCCGGGTGACGTGTCATGGAAACTGAGTGCAGAAGGGACGTGCTGATCCGGTTGACCACACTTGATAAATGAAAAATTAGTAGAGATACGAACCTTACTTTCATTCTTTGTTCTTATTTGCCAAAACTTGAGCTGAAAGTGCCAGTGTTTGGTTGTAACATCAGAGCTGACATTTTACTGTTTTATATAAGTAATCTGAGTTGATGTGAATAAAAATTCGGATGCGAGTTTTATCTCATTTAACTTTGAAGCTTGTTATAGGAACAACCACAATCAGGTGTAACTTATGATTTGTTCAATTTGTGTAAATAAATGATTGCATAGTCTTTTATGAATCAACTTGAACTCGTCTGAACGTTCACTTATTGTGTCACTTTTCACTTCGCACAGTCAAGATATTAAAAGTAATGAGAAAATACCTTGGTAAAACTTTCCTCATAACCTTGTTTATGAGAGATGTAGGAAAAGCTTAATTCACCCTAAGCTCTCTCTCAACTTCGCAAAGTTCTCCTAAAGTATGAGAAGTCATTCTCAACTGAGAACAGTTGAGAATGACTTCTAGAATGACTTCTCATACTTTA